TCGCTACCTAAGAAGACAGCCCGGCCACCTCTGGAGAAGTTCGCTTAGGACAGCCCTTCCATCGACAGGGACAGAGGCACCAGCCCTCATCTCGAGCTCCACGACGTTCTCAGGATGCAAGGAGGCCCGCACCCCGAGAGGCGGCAGGGAAAGCGGAGTCACAGAAGCCGCCTCAGGCCTCGAGCACCCCTGAGCAGGCCTGCTTGGGGACAGCCTGGGACCCACCCTGGACCACCCGCACTCCCGCCCGGGCCATCAGGGACCCGACGACGATTACCCCCCACCGACTAAAACCGACTCACCGCGCCACTGCCCCGTCGCACTGTCCGGGCGCACGTCTGACGCCAGCTCGGCGCGACCGCAACGCGCAGCCATGAGCTCACGAAGGGGCGGGGCATCTCGCCCCCTCCTCAGGGCGCCGGCGCACGACGCAGCGCCCCCTGCCGTCACCACTCCAAGCGCTCCCGATGTGGGGTGGGCGGGGCACGGTGAGGCCACGCCCCATGGGCGGGGCCGCGGGAAACCTGCCCCCGGAAGCGCAGGTTCAGGTTCTGGCTGCTGCAGGTGTTGGCGCGCGGGGTCCGGTTTCCCCATTTTTGCTCTGTCATTCGCCCAAACCTGATGACTTCTAGGCTCCTGTGGGTTAAAAAAATTTTCGGTGAAATAGAGAGGTTTGTTTTTCAAACTGCAAGTCACACCTGGTAGGGTGATCTATCAATTCCACTGTAAATACTCCGTCTCCAGATTATTCTAAAAGCACATTGGTCACTTCTATGCCTTTTATCTGTTGTCAGAATACCGAGACTGTCACCCTTCTGTTCGCTTGCTTCCAAATCTGCTANGAAGAGCTTTTATTAGGCGCTCCACAAGTTCCTCCAGGCTTGTCCTAACGCATCCAAGCTGTGGTGAGGAAACGGGGCGCGTGTGGACGGTCCACACACACCTCCTTTTTCAGGTACGCAGCCCAGGAACACAGACAAGCTCCATTCCCAGCCTGGACGCCGACCTGCGTCACGCTCCCACTCCCACTGTCACACGGTCGCCCAGTCCTCCCCACGCGCTCCAAGGCCTTGACAGAAATTCACCTCACTGCTACATCCTCCATTGTCATTAAGGGTCAAAGGTCCTCCGTGGGAGTCCCTGTAAGTGGAAGAGCCAAGTAAGGCCCCCAGGGCAAGCCCTGATTTCAGGGCCAGGCTGAAGCTCACTGCCCCAGATGAGCTGGCCTTAACAGTTCTGAGGCTCAAAGCACTTCCTTCTTTGACCTGGCAGCTGGGAAGCTCAGAGTGGCATCTTCCTCAGATGCGAAAGCTCTCCTTGTCCTGGGGTTCTCCTTATCTAACTCCAGCCTTTTCTTTCCAGTTAGTTGTTCGGTTTCTTTGTTGTTGTTTATTTGTTTTTAAGTGTATTTGTCTTCAGAAGCCTCTGTCAATTTTTCTGCAAAGTGAGTCTACTTGGGAATTGCATATCTGGTCAGCATGACAAAAGTCTTAAAGAAATCAGGGACAGTTTTTCACGGGTGAATCTGCTTAAACAGACAGGCTGCTTACCTTGCTCTTGTTTGAAGAGAATACTGTACTAGAAAAGAACAGACGCCACGTTAAACCAATGGTCAGATTTCAGACGTATCACATCCCCTCCCTAAAACACCCCTGGCATCCAACTCACCACCCAGCCCTGATAGATACAGTCCCAGCTGTACTGTGTACAGCTACTTCCTGTGTCGCCCTGACCTCCGGCAAGTTCCTGGACTCCTGCTTACGAAAGACGTATACTCATATCAGATACAAATTAGCTCTTCAAGAAACTGTAGTTTCTTTGCCCCCATGACTCCCCGTCCGCCAACAGGGAACTAATAAATTATGTGTTTTTCCTGCTCTCATCACCAGGAAGCTCTTTGCAGCTTAATTTTTGCAGTTGTGTAAAACTGTACAGCCTACATAATAACCTGCTAACTTTGTCCCCTATCTCATCATAAACATGTTTCTCCTTTGTGGCTCTTTGTTTCTTCCTTGTATTGGTGTACAAATTCTTTAAAGCTTCCTCAATCCCTCGGTTAACTGTGGTGAATAAAATCCCCTTATGCTGTGCACTTCACTAGTGCCATCTGACCCTCTGGTGACAGGTGCCCAGGATCACCCAGCTCTTCAGGAGCAGAGCAGGAAGTGGAGGCTGGTTTCCTGACTACACACTCAGACAACATACTGGGCTCAAACCTACCAATCAGTCCCACTGAGGGTCCTCTCCTCGCCATAAGCCTTACCTGGTTGGTCATTTCCTTAGCCAAGGATGGA